GGGGGGGGGGGGGGGAGAAGAGACAGCACTAAGTAGATATCTTTATTGCCACCATCTCATTTGGCTAGACAAGTCATTTAAATTCTGGCAAAGGAAAACTTAGAGTGATGAACCTCTGTCTTAAATATGAAATGTATTTATTGTAATTTTTAGAAATTAGTTTCAACCTCTCTTAACCCAGGTAGTCGCAGTCACCTAGAAGAAACAGAAGTCTGCTGTGGGGACTGCTAAGTAATAAATGTCCTGTAGGCCGGCACTTCCCTTGTAACCCACACATTCCAAATGCAAATAAACTCCAAACCAAGCCACGCCCTGTTTAAAAACTCTTTATGCAGTCATACTTGGCAGCAGAAAACCATGAGGGCTGGCCCCTCTCCCATCAGAGCAAGACGATTCTGAGTAAGAAATCAGCTTCATTTTCCCTTAGCAAGAATCTTTCACAAGGAAAAAAAAAATGAGGTTCAGTGTGAGATTTAAACCACTTTCAAGATAAAAGAAATTCCTTGTCATTACAAACCCCTGTTTCTTTCCGAGCATGTTGACTAACATAGGCAAATCAGACTATGCAAGTCTTCTGGTCAGACATATATAAATTGTGTGTGTGTGTGTGTTTTCTTCTCAATCAGATCAAACAATTGGCCGCAAGTCTGGATATGCAGCTGGCTGACAGAGCCCTTGACTAGTGATCCTGAAGGTTGCATCTCTACTAACACAAAAGCAGGTAAGGCCAGCGCGTTTGATAGAGTGCTTGCCTAGCCTGCAAGAAAAGAAAAAACGTACAATCACAAGTTCGGTCCCGACTACCACCTAAAACCAGGTGTGAGGGCAGGTGTCTGTAATCTCCTCAGACAGCAGACCGACAGGAGGGTCAGAAGGCCAACGTCATCCTTGGCTACAGAATGCCAACTTCAGAGCCAGTCTGAGCTATAGGAGACCCTCTCTCAAAAAACATTTTTAACAGGTGGAAAGGGTACCATGAATGTCCATTTTTACCTTAAAAAGTTATGTTTCCCCAGTGTACTCTGAGAAAGAGAACAGTTCTGATTCAAAAAAAAAAAAAAAAAAAAAAACTTTATTTACACTGGCAGGCAGAGGCCAGAAGTGGCCCATGGACTGTGATTTTTCCTATCAGTGATTTCATCAGCAGAGAACTAGGGAGGATAAGAGCTCAGAAAAAAGGAGAGGAGTGGTTTGAACGAGAATGTCCTCTTAGGCTCAGGTATTTGAATACTGGGGCCCCAGCCCACCGGTGGTATAATTTGGATCAGTTATGGAAACTTTAGTAGATGTATCCTTGCTGAAGGAAGTGCCTCTTTCTGCTTTGGGTTTATAGTTGAAAATGGGGTCTCTCAGCCCCAATCAGCCACCTGCTACCAATGTTTCCCCCACCTATGAATGATACCTCTGGGACTGTAAGCCCAAATAAACAGAAAAGTAACTCAGACACAGAGTAAGGCTCTGTGGGACGCTGTCCTCCCACTGGGGTGAGAGTGGGGAAGCCTGGTTCCCCTGCCAGGTGCTGCTCTCCAGTCTAGAACACGTCCCTTCCTCTACCCTTCAGGCTCAAACGTGATGACAGTGTCCAGTGTTTCCCTACGCTCTCCCCTTCCCTCTGACCACATTAAGATTCGAATAAAAGCTTTGGGATCACCGGCGGGAGAAGGCTGAGCCATAAAGGGGCCAGTCACCTGGTTGCTTGAGACTATCTATGTGCTGATTTTCTGTGTCTGCATTATAAAGAGGACTTGGGTCTTTCAGACACAGCTCCTAAGACAGTCATCCGAGTTCTTAGTGTGTGGACCACATGATCTTCCAAGTCAGAATAGCTGGTTCCCAGATTTGCCTTGATACCCACAAGCCACTCACTTCTAGATTGTCATTTGCATATTTCTTTTCAGGGTCTTCTATAATTTATTTTTGCCAAAACTATTCATTACCTATAAGGAAGTGCTCATTTGGACGTAGGGCTCTAATTCAGCCTTCTGCCTGAGCAAACAACACATGCGTTAGCTACAGGTCTCAACCTCACACAAACAGCATATCTGTACGTCGTCCCCAATGTACTCCAGCTCTTGGGCCACAGAAGTCATCCTTCCCTAATCATCCAATTATTTAAGTTATCCCTAAAATAATTTCCTCATGTAACACATATAATTTTGTACTTCAGATATTTCCCTTGAAACAGGATTGTCTTATCTTGCCAAGACAGAGTAGGATAATTCTAAGAAAATTCCTTGCATTTGATAATGGTATGTCAGTCATGCTAGGCCTTAGCCAAAGTTGGTTGACTCAACATTGCGAACGAGAATTTGGGTGATTGCCCAGGTAGTCTGTTGTCTCTGTCATTTATGGCACG